TTTATAAAAGTTCAGAGTCAGCCACACCTACCTAAAACGGCTCGTTCTAACACGCCCCCACATATCTACCTCACTATGTGGGAAGATTTGCATAACGCCGCCCAAATGTTCACGCAAAGAAAGAAGGCGTAACTTTTAGTCTCACTGTAGTTTTGTTGACGCTGCAGCCATGTCGTGAAGACGCCGTGTGCTTCGTTGTGAAAGCGAAACTACGTTTTGTCTTCCATTTTCAGACCGATGAGCTTTGTAAAAATCTACACGTTTCAAAAAGGCGGGGTATAGAGGAGAAACAATAATGTATAGTATGTGGAAAATAATGTGTTTTTTTAACTTTAAACCGCATAAACACATTTCATTACACCAAATACACAAAATAATGTTCTTTTTAGCAGCATCATATGACCCCTTTAATATTAAAATAAATTACATTTAAATTCAAAGTAATTACTTTGGTAATCCAAGGCTGCGTTTACACGGGCACAAAAGTCAGATATATTGCTCACATCTGGCACAGATCCGAATTTGTTGCACACGTGTAAACACAAAAATCCACACGAGATCTGCAACATTCAGGACACAGCAACATTTCAATCCCTGCCCCGTGAATTTTATAAATGCAACAGCTTTGCTACTAAAAGCTACACTATATTTCTCAGCAATGAGATGACGACTTGGCAGCTTTTGTAATTAAACCAGCAAGCTTCACTATTAGGCTACTCGTTCGCGCGTTCCCTCTCTTTCTCGTTGATTTGTTCGAATTCATTCAAATAAATAGAGTCTTACAGCACTACTTTATTTCACTTCATAATTCTACATCTGATGAGCTATAGATAAAATAACAAATGAAAATTACCATTATTTTCCCGTCTTTATCCATTCACTCAGATTTTATGCTGCAAAACATCCATGACGGCTGTTGTCCATGCTGGCAAAAAATAATAGCCACTCAATGTGAATTATATTTATTATTTTAATAGTACGGACATTCAAAAACTGAGGGTCTACCATGTGCATAGTAAAGCGATCAAATCATTTTGGGCGAGAATTAATGTAAACAGAGATATCGGATACCAGTCGTGTCTAAAGTGAATGTAAACAGACGGGTCAAAAGATCGGGTCTGTGTATTAAGACTTGCAGTGTAAACACAGCCAAAAATACTTAACGGATGTAACTGTACTTTGATTACCACCCATTTAAAATGTAACTATAACAAACATGTATTTCGTTACTCCCCAACCCTATATACATATATATCTCTGCTCTGCCATCTAGAGACCCTTTACATTGAGACCTTCAGACGTTACAATGTGTTTTATCCTGCAATCAAGTCATCATCAGTTTCCTGGCCAACCCGCCCCCCCCCATAATTTAAAGTTTCCCTCTGTGTCTCGGTATGTAGAGAGAGGATGTCAGGCTGGATTTGTGAGCACTGATGGGATGGTACTGTTGTAACCTGGGCTCCCTGGGCTGAGCAGGCGGGAAACTGTGGTACGTCCTTGATGAAGAACTCCACTGCGACGAGGCCTGTCCCTTTGACTCATGCTGAGCGCTTGATACTCGGGACGAGGAGGTCAGCCTGACCCACTTTCCCCCGCCTGCCCTTCTGTCATGTTGGGAGAGGTGGGCGAGAGGCCAGGGGTGAGTGGGCGGATGGGTGCACTGACTGTCAGCGAGTGCGTTTACGCGAGGGGTTAGGAGAGAGCACTCCTGCTGTGGAATGCAGGTACATCTCAGCCCACCAAGACAGTAATGGACAGGCACTCCCACAGAGCTCAGTGTCTGACCCTCTTATTGTAGCTCCTCATCCTCGATGACTCCTACAGCTCTCTTCCTCCTCCTCTTCATCATTTCACTGCACTGCGGTGCTTCTGAGCTCTACCTGTAATCTATGCAATCAAGAATAAAACATTCAGCAGTGTTATCTGCACATCATTTTATGTGATGTGGAATATTTTTACACTCTAAGTCATTTGTTATGTTCAGGAGTGACCTGCTGACCTTTAGTTTTACATGTGCATGTAAAGATGCTGTCAGACAGGACATGTTTGTTAACATGTAGTGATATATAAGACAGACACTGGTTTCATAACTCATCAAAATTGAAACTCATTTTCCAGGTTGAATGCAGGGTCAAAAAAAAAAAATGGGTGTTTCATCTGTAGTTGAGAAGCAGGCACAGACAAGCAGGCCTCTCTGCTGAATTTAGACAGGTTACGTGTCCTACCTTAAGTGTGCAAAGATGTAAGGCATATAGCACTTCATGTCAGTCATGAATAATCATGTCTTCAACATGAAATAGCATTTGTGACCCATTTGACTTCCTTATTGTGACGTGTTTCTAAATGGAATATGTGATTCATGGAGGGGGCAAAAGGATTATTTGTATCCATTCGAAACTGATTATATTGTGAAAGGTGAACCTTTGTTGTTGTTTTATACTTTGAACTGATTAGATTTTTATCAAGTTTTTAGTCTATTTAGTTAATAGTAATAGCAAATAAAATTAATAGTAAGTTAAAATATTTTATTGCAGCAGTAAGATGCCATATTTAAATAGTAATTTACTATTGTTATTAGTAGTAGTAAATTTGTATGATATCATTCAATATTATAAACATATGCTTGTCATAAATCGTGTATTTGTATATAAAATATGGAATGCAAATATTTATAATTTATTATTTAAATATTTGTAATAAAATATGTGTTTATATATTAATGTTATTAAAATATTAAAATATATGTTTATATATTAATGTATCATTGTATGACAGACAGAATGCATATATTTATTACTGAAATATTTATATTAAAATATCTATTATATATGTGATATAATCATATATGTGATATAAAGGTCTTGCTGAAATAAAAGAAACACATTTTGCTTAAAGTTTATTTTATAGCAAAACCCTATTGGTCATGTATGACGTGCTGCTAATGTTCGTAACGTATTGGATTTGGTAGCTTTCACTATACAGGATCCATCTTATAAACTCAGAGTGGGCTTTTACACACATAAGCTCTCACATGACTTCTTTTGGGCATTCCTTTTCTCTCTCTCTCTCTCTCTCTCTCTCTCTCACACACACTCACACACACACTCAAACTCAGTGTGTCTGAATGGCAGCTGGCCCTGCGGCTCTCTTAGTTAGTTCCCCTGATAGAGAGTTGGAGACAGACTGGACTGGTGCAGTAGTGCTTATTAGCCGTGTCTGTCTGCAGGAGCCCTGCTGAGCCAGCCTTGAACCCTCCGGCCCCCAGCAGAGAAAGAGGGAGAGACAGAGAAGAGAGGGGGAGAGGGAGGTTAAAGCAGTGGAGGACAAAAGTGAGAGCGTGACAGCCAGGGAAAG